ATCTATTATTGTATGTGTTATTAGATGCCCATGGTGACTGTTGGTGGTGCGATTGGCCATGCAAAAATATCCACTGTTGCAGTGAAAAGTGCTGTATGAATTATTTGCTACAGTGCGGATGTTGCACCATGTAAATTTTTTGTGATCAAATTTTTAAATAAAAATAATTGCAAAATACAGTATAATTTTATTTATTATTTTATTTATAATTTATAGTATAAATACCTATTTATATGCACAAATATCTTTTTAATTTGTTTGACAATATTATATACAAGTAATAATTGAAATTATAAAGTAAAGCTTTTAGAAAAACATTATAATTAATTATTTTCTATGCGTTTCGAAAAACTTTTATAATGTCTGATTTTATTATAAATTAATTCAAAATATTTTAAATATACAGTATACTTTTAAATATATTTATAATTGAATCATTGACTTGTTTTAAAAGTATCCTCATGTTCACAATTAACACTAAAATTATTATCATTATTATTATTATTTGATTCACTATTTGTCTTTATAACTGATTTAGTTATATACCTATTAAGTAACTCAATAATTATGGCAATGAAAATGGGCAGGGCAGACGCAGCGGCTAGTATTAAAAAGCAAGTACCGGGAAAGGTATCAATAGTAGCCTTAAATGCAACGGTAATTACTGCAGACGCTAATAANCAGACGCAGCGGCTAGTATTAAAAAGCAAGTACCGGGAAAGGTATCAATAGTAGCCTTAAATGCAACGGTAATTACTGCAGACGCTAATAAAGGTGACGTTCCCTCAATAACAGCCATTAATGTGTACACTTTGCCGATCTCCCGGTGCTTCACTATCTTTCCCAAATGCGATTTGAACCCAATATCCGCCAGACTTCCAAAACAATTGACCCCGATGCTAATGAAAAATCCCGTTGGACTCAAAATAATGCCCATAATTAACAGTTTACACGTTGAACTTAAAAAGCCCAACATTGATATCATCATGTCATTTAATTTTAAAACCTACAGTATAAATTTATTTCAAATTAAATCACTAGGCAAAGTTATATCATATAGAGTATAAAATTACCTTGATCAGTATGGGAGCTACGAGTAGCGCAAATATAGGGGTAATGAAGGCGCCAATGGATCGGTATTGTGAGTACTCATCGGCGTCCCAGTTGTAGACCTTCTCGATGAATTGAAACTGAAATGATCCAGGTGCCGCCCAATAATGTTAAAATATAAGCAAATTCTTATGTCTGATGCTAATCATTGTTAAATATAAAATACTAATAGTGGCCATTCGGTTACTTTTATTATTGGAAATTGTTAGTGATATCATATAGAAAATTACTGTAGTATCAAAATTATCAATATCCATTTTGTGAAAAGAGAGTCTGCTGCTAAGTTAAACATATTATTTAAAAATCCTTTAATTCTCAATTGAATTTGTTAGTATTTTCTTAATATTGTATTATTTATTAGGTTTCATACATTTGTTTGTAATTTTTACATTTTACTTAATAAACGAACTTGTTATATTGTTTTTTTATCAAGACTTATTTGTAATATAATATAATAGAACTCCTTAATATACTGTAATATTATATTAAAATATAAAGTTTATTTCATACCATTGCTTATAAATTATAATTGAATTAATTTGTCATTAAAATGTGTTCAAACACTTTTGACTTTTAAAAAACTTTTCACTAAAAACGGGACAATTATTGTGTGAAAAATTTATGTTTTAAATAAAACTAATTGAAAATGAATTTTTAAAATTTATAAAAAGCAATCAAACGAAAGGTGAAATCCATACAAAAACTTTCCGAATCTGACGGTGATATCACATACCATTCCTATATACCATACCATTGCCAATTTAATTGGTGAATGAATTGGTCACAGAAATGTGTATTTGTTAACAAATCCGTACCAATTGTGGCACCAAATACTTTCTGATGTTTAGAAAAAGTTTATTTTTATAAAATTAGTGAAAAAATAATTTTCAAAATCAGTAAAAAACAAAAGTGAGATTCGCACCAAACATACCAATCAATACATACGGTCCATCAGCACCAGTACTCTGCAAGACCTGTTACCAAATGTCCCAATCCGGAGCCCCGCCGCCGCCACCACCACCACCACCCGGGCCACCACGACCTCCGGCTCCCATAAATTGGCACCGGAGGACGTACAACGACTACACTATGAATCCCTCGGTCCGGGCGGACATCCAAGAGCACCTGGACTGGTTCGGCAACAAAAGGGATGAGTGTATGGAGTTGTTGGACACGTATGTCCGCAATCTGATGCAGGCCTCTGAGAGCATCGACTTGGGAAGGCTGACCCGATCTCAGGTCTTGCAGCACATGAATCACGCCATGATTGCAATGGAAGGCATGCCCGGCCTCCGGGAAGAGGTGGTAGAGTGGGGCCCCAGTTTGGCCGAACATATGGCGCCGTACGAGTCGTTTCTGGCGCGACCCGAGAATGAAGAGCTCTATGAGGTGTACCGCTCACTGGAAATGGATCTCCAGTTTCTTCCCGGGGCTGTCGACCGCATGAGAGAGCGCTTAGACCAGTGGTTGCGAGCATTGGTTACGGCTGACCATCAGATGGCGTTCAGCGAACCCCCGGACTATTCTCAGCCCTAAAATGACTGCTAGTATATGACATACCGGTGCTCTGTAAATACAATTTATCGGAGTTTAGATATGAATTGATTATGAAAACCATAAGTAAGGCCTTAAGTAAATTTATAAGAAAACCCAAACCTATTGACTCTCTGTATGTCTTTCGTGTAGTTTATTTACTTGTTCCTATAACTTAGTGGAACAACGTCACTTTTACCTAATCTATGGTAATAATCTATGTAAGTTTAATTATGGTAAACTTATAAATTATTTTGGGCGCCAGGATACAGTGGTCTGGATTAGGAAGGATACAAAATTCATAAATTACGGTGGTTATATCTATCATATGAGGGCGTGAGCTTTATTATTATTAGGATGATGCAATAAATCGTCAACGGACATCACCCTGTACGTATAATTACATTTACATGCAAAATATATCATTTTATAATCAGTAAATATTAAAAATATTAAATAAGGAAATATAATACAATATACTATTTACTGTTTATTTACACAAAAAAGTGCTTGTTATCTTTATTATTAAGAAAATAATACTCACAATCTTTATATTTACAATAATAAACTTAATATTTACTTAGTTTATTTTTGATATTATATCAGTCAAGCGAAAATAACATTTTTATAAATTAAGTATAAACCGGTACTTTCAATGTTATTATACTGTACAATGTATGTGCATCGTATTAAATAACGTTATATTATGTAAACAAGTATTAACTTTATATTTGCAGTCAAAACATTATAATTGCCAATTTGTCTGTTGTTGTTGTCTGGTGTGCATACAATTTATATTATAAATTAACTGTTAGTGACATTTCAAATGCTATAATGTAATAGCCGGTTTTAAATAGTTAACAATTAATTATACTACCTCACAATATGTCTATATTCCGGGTAATGATATTCCTGATATGTTTAAACAACACACTAGGTATAAATTTAGTTTTTAAATTAATTATTATATACTTATTTTTAAAAATAAATTTAAGCTGCGTTAATCATGAACAAGATTGGTTATGCGAAAACATTTTATGGTTTGCGACTCTCATTTCTAGTTGACGAGGTCAATTTTGTAACGCAAGGTACTGAATAGTTTTTAATTTTTTGAATCAAAAATACTGGACATTTATCTATAATTATATTAGATGCGTTATTAGATGCCCATGGTGACTGTTGGTGGTGCGATTGGCCATGTAAAAATATCCATTGTTGCAGCGAAAAGTGCTGTATGAATTATCTGCTCCAGTGCGGATGTTGTACCATGTAAATTTTTAGTGATAAATTTTTTAATTAAAATAATTACAAAATACAGTATAATTATAAATTATTTATTTGCACAAATATCTTTTAATTTGTTTGACAATATTATATACAAGTAATAATTGAAATTATAAACGAGTAAAGCTTTTAGAAAAACATTATAATTAGTTATTTTCTATGCGTTTCTAAAAACTTTTATAATGTCTGATTTTATTATAAATTAATTGATAATATTTATGTGTTTATTAAACATACAGTGCTTTTAAATATATTTATAAATGAATTATTGATTTGTTTTAAAATTATCCTCATTTTGACAATTTACACTAAAATTATTATCATGATTATTATTATTATTATTTGATTCACTATTTGTCTTTATAACTGATTTAGTTATATACCTATTAAGTAACTCAATAATTATGGCAATGAAAATGGGCAGGGCAGACGCAGCGGCTAGTATTAAAAAGCAAGTACCGGGAAAGGTATCAATAGTAGCCTTAAATGCAACGGTAATTACTGCAGACGCTAATAAAGGTGACGTTCCCTCAATAACAGCCATTAATGTGTAACAGACGCAGCGGCTAGTATTAAAAAGCAAGTACCGGGAAAGGTATCAATAGTAGCCTTAAATGCAACGGTAATTACTGCAGACGCTAATAAAGGTGACGTTCCCTCAATAACAGCCATTAATGTGTATACTTTGCCGATCTCCCGGTTCTCCACTATCTTTCCCAAATGCGATTTGAACCCAATATCCGCCAAACTTCCAAAACAATTGACCCCGATGCTAATGAAAAATCCCGTTGGGCTCAAAATAATGCCCATAATTAACAGTTTGCACGTTGAACTTAAAAAGCCTAACATTGATATCATCATGTCATTTAATTTTAAAACCTAAAGTATCAATTTATTTCAAATTAAATCACCAGGCTAAGTTATATCATATAGAGTATAAAACTACCTTGATCAGTATACCTCGATGCTCATCGCGTTTATATCCCCATTACTTCCGCGGTTACCTAGCCATAACACTCATGAGTAGCCGCAGGGTCAACATCTGGAAGAGCTACTTAACTTTGACTTTACTAGGTCCACGGCGGGATATGAAGTACGAACAGAACATCGCCGCAATAACCAGCCATATCTGGAGCCTCACATACCCGGCCCGTCGCTTACAACACGACATTACTATCTCTTTGACGTTATTTAAGTTGAATAATAGTCTCAACGGATGTATGTCTTTGTATTGATCATCCTTTATGTCGGGTTTGGCACTGATTTGTGTGTCATTATCGCCGAAATACTTGTCCCATAATTGTTGGTCTCTCTGTTGGTCAATGACAAACACAGCCCACAAAAGGCACATAAAGTTAGCACAACTTGACATAAAAAATATGAGACCGTAATTATGGAGCTGTCCATTGCCACCCACTGGACTCAGGTTTATAAGTTTTCCTGAGAAAAATACACCAAATGGTGTGGCTATGAATGGAAATGAAATAGTGTTTAATAATGTGCTTGTTATTATGCAAACCGAGACAAAGTTACGGTAATCAATACAAACCTAATGCTATCAGTACTTCGAGAATAGTCATACGAATTGTACGGTATTTCAGTGGAGTAATAGCCGATACATATGAGTAGGCGGTGGTCCATGTCATGGAACCGGACAGTATATAGGGTATGAACGACACTAATATCCAGTTAATATCTAATTTGTGAACGATAAATTATTATAAAATTAAAATTTAACTTGTATACCATTCTCTCATTATGTTTAATTGATATTTATTTTTGATAACCAGTGGTCGACTGTTTTGATCCAAGGTGTGGTTGAAACATACATTGATTCAACAATAATATCACCATGTGTACAGTATGTACAGTATAATGAATAATTGAACACTCCTAGTAACTTAATTATGAAAACACTTACCTAAGCTAAAGTAATACGAGTTGATTGTATTGAGCACGTTGAGGTCGTAAACGCACTTACTCGACTGTTACTTTTAATAAAACGCTCGGGCTCGCATGAATAGTTAGGTACCCGGGTCTTTATCACGGGTCCATTGCGGGCCCCAGTAACAATAGGTGACCACCATACTGTTATACAACACGGCGTCACTTAGTATACTAGACTTGATGTCACTGTCCGGCTCATTGTCTTTCATAAACGGCAAGTTTAAGCAAAACGCTTCACTCATATTATACTTATTGCGACAAAGTTTGTCCTGAATTAGGACTTCTAGTGGAGTAGACCTGAAGTACTGAAATGTGGCGAATACTAACATATAGGGCTCCACTCTTAAGAGCCACACAAACCGTGCAAATAATTGAAAATTTGTAGACATTGTCTCTAATAATGCTATTCATTAAAAATTAAGATATTTATACAGTATTCAATTATGGGCACACAATACTCCACTCCCAACATCACTTTCTACACGACACCGTAAATAACACAGTTTAATTATATTTATATGGATAGAATTTCAGATTCAACATTAATCACCCTGATACACTAACAAGTAAGCACGATTTGTGATTAATCAGTTAGGAAACCCTTAAGAAAATAAATCTGGCATTTGATTTACTTTGACCTTTGATTTGATAATCGCCAACTACTTGCACTATAAAAAGTATAAAAAGTATGTTATATGATACACTACAATATACATTTTGTCTCAACACCACTGATAACACAATATAAATTATATTGAAAATATTGAGAATACTTATTTTCCTAGAACCTTTTGTACTAAAAACTTT